CTAATTTTCTGATTTCTTACTAATGATTGCTTTTGTTTTGCAAATTGTTATTCTTGGAATAAATCCTTGCGTTTGTAATTTAATTTTCTATTTTTCCTTCTCGTTGAATCCCTTTCCAATTCTTTATATTCTCTCCCATTCAATTGAAAGCGTCTACGCAGGATCTTACGGATCTGAATCCTTGTTGTTCATCTGATAAATTTGTTAGTTTATTGATGTTGTTGGTTGGGACTTTTGTGGCAAGCTTAAGTGCGGTGTTCAGTAGATTTATACTTCTATAATTGTTGGGTCTTCTTTGTCTCCTTTCTTGAACATTGGGATCAACAATAACTATAATAACTACAGTATTACTGTAGAAACGTGCTCTGTGTTTCACTTAAATGTACAAAGTATCACTAATAAGGTAGATGAATTAAATGGATTTTTTAAAGATAATAAGTATGACATTTTTTGTGTTTCGGAACACTGGTTCCGATAATTCTGATAATTTACAAAGAATAAACTTGCGACAATTTTCAACTTGTCACTTCATATTGTAGAGAAAGCAGACTACATGGAGGTGTAGCTATCTATGGTTCTAAACATATTTAACTTGAGCCTGTTGATTTAAACAAATTTTGTGATCCATTGAATGCTGAATTCTGTGGTGTTGAAATTAAAAATAATCGTTTTCTGATAATTGCTTTTTATCGATCCTGTAATGGGGATATTACTATTTTCAAAGCTAAGTTATACGCTTTAATTGATTTCGCCTTTAAAAAATATGAAAATATAATGATACTTGGTGACATTAACATAAATATGGAAGTAAACACAGGGCATGTTTGTGAAATACGAAATTTCTTAACCATGTACGGTTTAAAACATTTCATAAAAGCGCCCACAAGAGTGTCACTTACTTCAAGCTCTTGCCTTGATAATATATTTACTAATATTAATGGACAAAATTTAAATACAGGTGTCTACGATCCTGTAATATCTGATCATTTGGGTATATTTGCTATTGTGAGTGGTTTAAAAAATGTGTCTACAATTATAGAAAAGACTAAAAAAAATTAATTAATGAAAAAAATATTAAGAATTTTGTGGAAAAAATGAACTCCAAAGATTGGACTGTGTTTGACGATATCCAATGTAATTCAAACAACATGATAGAGTTGTTTATGAAATATATGTGTGAAGAATACAACGTTTGTTTTCCTTTAAAAAACATGAATAGCAGAAAAAGTGCTATTCATTGGTTTAATCAGAAACTTCGAGATTTAAGAAAACAACTCTACGATTGTAAAGCAACATATAGAAAAACACATACTATTGACAATTGGATTAAATATTGTCAAATACGAAAAAAATATAAGCAAGCAATAAAAGCTGAAAAACGTACTGCTTATGCTAACATAATTAACAAATCCACCAACAAAAGTAAGACAATATGGAGTATTGTTAAAAAAGAAACCTATAAGGAACATACTACGTCTAATCTGAACTTAACACCAGAAGAAATTAACCAATACTTTACGAATATAGCAGATATTATATCGAAATCAATAGGAGACTCTGAGCATGACATAAACTACTATCTTAGCAGGCTACCTAGAAGGTCAAGTTCGTTCTTTATGTCTCCAATAGTAGCATCTGATGTGAAAGAATGCATATACAAATTAAAAAATTCCTCATGTGTTGACTACTATGGTTTTAACAGTAAAATTATTAAGGAATCGCTTGATACAATTGTTGAACCACTCACAATAATATTTAACAAATGCATTAACGAGGGTTACTGGCCTGATGTATTCAAAATATCAAAAGTAATTCCACTTCATAAAAAAGGAAATAAAAATGCTCCTGACAATTACAGACCTATTACCATAGTACCAACAATAAGTAAAATTTTTGAAATCTTAATTAAAGATCGTATATCAAATTATTTGGATAACAAATCAATTATATCTAGCTCTCAATTTGGTTTTAGAAAAAAATACTCAACAACTAAAGCTTTATTAGAAGTAATAGAACATATTGTTCACGGTTTTGATGCAGGTGAACCTACTAATGGCTTAATGTGTGACCTTACAAAAGCTTTTGATTGTGTAGATATTCAAACACTATTGATAAAATTGGAGTACTATGGAATAAGGGGCACCATACATGACCTTTTAAAATCCTATCTTACAGGAAGAACACAGATTGTTGCATTTAATAATCAAGAATCTGATCCTTTACCAGTTTCAACCGGAGTACCACAAGGATCAGTTTTGGGTCCTCTACTATTCTTGATATATATAAATGATATACCAAGTGCATTGGATAACACCAACTGTGTTCTTTTTGCAGATAACACAACCTTATTATGTAGAGGTAAAACTGATTACAGTCAGGATATATTAGAAAAATCTAAATCCTGGTTTAACTGTAACAGACTTAAGTTAAACGAGCAGAAAACCCAGAACATCGTATTTAGTTCTGATAGATGGGTTACACCATCTGAACCAGTAAAGTTACTAGGTGTTACTATGGATACAAGGTTGAACTGGTCGCACCATATTGAACGATTGTGTAGGGGGCTCGCCTCACAGATTTTTGCTATGCGCAGATTGGCTACTTCTGTGAGTCGAGATATTCTTAGGTCAGTTTATTTTGGAATGGTTCATAGTATCCTGACATATTGCATACTTCTTTGGGGAAACTCGTCCTATGCATATAAAGTTTTCACTTTTCAAAAAGCAGCAATCCGAATTATTGACTCGGCAGAATATCGCGCCAGCTGTAAACCCTTATTTAAGAAGTATGGCATTCTTCCTTTACCTTCAATATATATATTTGAAACTTTGTTAACTATTCATAATAATATAAAAGATGTAAAATCACATGCTGATCAACATCATTACAATACAAGAAATAAAAGTCATATCATTATACCATATTCCAGATTGTGTGTTACACAACTTAATACAATAGATTATAATCTGTATAATTGTTTTTTAAACTTAAACAAAAATATTGATATTAAGGCAATGAATTCTAAACAATTTTATAAACTAGCAAAACACTTCCTGCTGGAACACTGTTTCTATAGTATACAGGAATTTGTTTGTTTGAGCTCCTAGTGTGGTCGTTTTTAATGAAAACTATATTACGCCTTACTGAAATGTTTCTTTCTTATTTGTTATAATTTTATCTATCTAATTTTCACTGTATATGTTCTTGTATTATTTCTTAGTTCTTAGTATACAAAAGTAAATTATTTTTATTGTGACATGACATGTAGTGTTTACTATGTAAAAATTGTCAATAAACCTATCTATCTATCTATCTATCTATCTATCATTATGCTGTTTCTCCATGCGTCTGGTATCTTGCGGTGCAATATTAGTTTTTGTATAAGTCTTGTCATCTCTAGGGTTATACTTTCTCCTCCGTGTTTTAGAAGCTCGTTGATTATTCCGCCTGGTCCTGGTGACTTTCTATTTTTGAGTGAATCAAAATCACCGGATATTTCTACTTCATAGGTGATACGGTTAGGACATGTTCAACATCGAAATAAAAAGAAGCTGCAAGTTCCTGTAAGAAGTGGGTTAGGAAGACACAGAAGACCTGTTAGTATATGCATAGGCCCGATACTGTATAGGGATAAAATCAAAGAGAATAATGAACTTTATTCCACAGAAGAACTGGCATTAACAAGGATCTAGGTGTTGAAAGACAGTCATATCAACGAAATATATTATAACAATTATTCTGCGCCATACTGTTGTTCATTAAAAAACTCAATCAAGGTAGTTTTTCCTGTATAGCTGATATAGAAAGTTTAGAGAAGCGATAGAATTAATAAGTACCTACTCTATTCACTAAGGTTTGAGAAGGAAGCAGAGAAGATGGGGCTCCAAATCAACGAAAACAAGACGAAATATATGTATATGAGCCGCAATAACCAAAGCAGAGACAGAATCGGTCAGAACATTACCATCGATGACTTTAACTTTTAGCGCGTTAGAGAATTCAAGTATCTTGGAACAACAATAACTGAAGACAGTAACGGATCACAAGAAATAAACAACAGGATTCAGGCCGGCAACAGATGTATTTTTGCCCTCCAAAACCTTATAAAATCAAAACAACTAACACGACGTACGAAGATACAGGTCTATAAAACAATCATACGACCCGTTGTGATGTATGGAAGCGAAACGTGGACGATAACAAAGGCAAATGAAGAGAGACTACGTGTTTGGGAAAGAAAAATCCTAAGGAAGATCTTTGGTCCGGTGCTTGATGAAGCATCAGGACAATATAGGATAAGAACTAATAAAGAGCTTGAAGAACTTTACCCAGACGCCAACATCATAAAAGAAATAAAGTCCAGAAGACTCCAATGGGCAGGACACCTCAGAAGACATTCTGACGAACGAACAGTAAGACTGGTGTGGGAGGAAGTCCCAACTGGAAGGAGACCACGCGGACGCCCTCGTCTTCGGTAGCGAGATAATATAGCAGGAGACCTAAGCACTATGGGCGTGAAGAATTGGATGGAGGTTGCTCAAGACAGAAAACAGTGGAGGCATGTTGTCGAGTCGGCTAAAACCCACGAAGGGTTGTAACGCCACGGAGTAGTAAAGAGTACTCTATTCACGATGTTGAAGAATCCTACAATAATATGCCTACTCATTCATTTATTATTGTGAAGTTGACAATTTTGCAAAATATGTGTAAGTATCCATATGAATGAACTAAGAAAAAGTTTTTTGATTATAATTTACTATAAAAAAATTCTGATCAGTCTAAAATGACCTCGAGACATGTTAATATAAAAATGCAGCTAAAAACTATGTAATTTATTTTGCAATAACATGGTTTAAAAATACTACATACATAAAAAGCTCGAAGTAGGCGAACTAGGAAATCAACAATTCTCTAATCTGTACGAATTCTAAGAAAATTTTACTACATCGGAATGTGTATCTAGAATCTATAAATAATCATAATTGACTGAAAATACTTACTGAAGTTGTGGTTACTGTCGTCCTTGATGGGTTTTTTATGATTGTCTGAAGCGGCGGCTCGGTACCATTTGCATTATTGTCCGTGGGAGATTCGCTCGCCATCTTGAAATAATTAAAAAAAACTTGGTTAATAAAATTGCTTGATTTGTTGCGTGTTTGATACAGTAATTATCTTCTAGTTATACGAGTATATACATCGTTATTCACAACGAAAAAATAAACATTATTTCCAGACAATTATCTTTCACATATAAAACAAATAGATAACATTTTGTGAAATCATCATCATCCAGTTTAGTTTCTAATGTTTTTATAGTTCCCTATCTTGTCCTTCTTGTTGGAGGAGGCCGCCTATTTTTTAAACATTTTCTCTGGGTCTTCATTCGAAAACTCTCTTAGTGCACCTATTGCCAATTCCACTTTGGGATAGGTATTCTTTCCACACTATCTTGTACTCCGGCTCTTCGATTATACGCCCAAAATTGATCGTTTCATTTCATACTATGTGCTTCGTATCTTTTTATCAGGGTTGAGGCTGGGACATACCCTTCATCACATTATCATACACCCTTTCGATACTACTACGATTATACAGCAGGAATGTATGTAGAGGGGAATTGACTGTGTCTTCTGAATGTCGCAGGTCACACCTCTGTCGATCGCTTGACCAATCCTACTCTCACCTGTTTCCGCTGTCATCACCGATAACATACCAACACTGCAGTCTATTCGTGTTCCTGCTGCAGTACCATTGTCGTTTTATGTTTAAGTTTTGAGAAGTGTTGTTTTCTAACTAAGATTACGGTACCTTAACAGTAAAGTTTCTCGTTTTAAAATTTTATTTAAAAAAAAAAAATTTATATGAAAGCAACTTGAACTTAAAAATGTTATATGGTTAGGTGGTTAGTCTATTCACGGTTTTTGTGGTCTTCTCTAGTACCACTGTGTTCTTGTGATCACAAATGTACAATGTTTCTGTGTTTCTGCTTTCTCGATTTTTTGTTGTTCTGTCAAAGTCATTCGGATTCTTTTAGTGATCGCTGCCGTTTGATTGTGTTTGCCCAGTTTGATCGTGTGACCTAGGTATATACGCTCTTCGAGATTTTTGATCTCACTTGCATCTAAGTTTATTGTGATATTTTGATTTGTCATCACTTTTGTTTTATTACTACTAATATGCAAATCACTACTAATGTATTTATGTATTACTATTTTTAACTGAATTAAACAATGTTTAAAGACCTAGCTTAATGGTTTTATGTCTTTTTCACATCAATTTCTTTTGCTTTATAATGAAACCCGAAATAATAAATTATTTTGTTTATTTTGCGACAGGTGCAATAAACCAACCCATACGTTACTTTCCGGATATCCGGAGCAATATATTAAAAACACGTGACGGCATTTTTTAATATGCATAAAAGAATTAACGAAGCATAATATACTCTCAATTGCTGTTATAAAACTTGTTTAATCAATTAAACTATCACAAATGCATAAATATGTTTAAGTTAGTACAGGCTATTAAAATTGCATATTGCAACACCACAATTTGAAATAAAATTGTTGTTGGAATAGCACTGAACATTCAATAAATTATGAGTGCCATGTCTTCGCTAATTTTATGATATAACCCGCTTCCATTTTTCCATATTCCTTTAACAAATAAGGAGCAAAATCCGCGTTCTAAGAATCAGGAAAGCCTAAAGTTTAATACTTTTCCAATTGTGGTAAATAACTTCCTTACAGAAACAGAAAAAACAGAAATTTGACATTCAACCTTGGAGCGAATTCCTTCTTAGTTCGAATTCCATGACAAAGGAAGAATAAAGATGTTCAATATGCGAGTAAGAGTTTTTTAAAGCAGTCAAAATCATGTCATTTTTTTTGCTTGGATCGTTGGACACACAGCTACCTTACAACAGTTTAAAAATGAAAAATCTAGTCATAAAACAAAACGAAATTAATACAAAAATTAAACAAATAAAGATAAAAAGAAACATACGCTTCGGGTGTTTTTATTGCAAACGTCACAGCCATCTGTTGATTTCTTGCTAAAAAAATCAACGTAGCATAAACTGTGTAAATAATAGCTGCATTACAGCTGTTTCAAATACTGTTGTTGTTACAATCAAGAATGAAAACAGCACAGTATTTGCAGTAATAACAATAAAATAATAATAATATAATAACAAAGTAATAACAATTAGAAACATTATTCCAACTGATCCATTTTTATAAATGCATACATCATATGTGGTCCTTGTAGTTTATCTATTATGCTATTAATGTTTCCACCGCCTATAAAATACTAAAAAAAAACGGCACAAGCCACAAAAAAATACTATGTACTAACAAAAAAGTTAAAATATGGGAAGGAGGGGCCCACCCACTCAAAAGCCGAGTTGCCAAACAGGGCTAAGCCCAGAGTGCAGGCTAGCTGCCCAGGCAAGCAACAGCAAATCGACGATAAGTCAGATAAAACGAAATCGGGCCTATAGCGCCTCACGCTATCTTGCATTATTCGGTAAAGATTTCATATGTGGATCTTTGTATCCAGAACTCTTATATGGCAAAGATCTTAATGAAAATGCCTTATACCGCATACGCATATTATGAAGGAGTGGAGGATAGTCTGTGGAGTATTGAAACAGTGGTCCCTGATTTATTCATACCAATCTACCTCGTTGGTACGAGGGAAGCTTTATTTAGACTGCAGGTATTGTTTCAGAAATGTACAAATGTCAGCTGTGATGTTCTTGTCTACAAGAAGGCTTTCGACAGTGTCAGGCATAAACAAATCATGGAGTGCTGAAGAGGACAGGGATTGACTAAAGAGACCTAAAAATAATAGGTAACCTGTATTGGAATCAACCACAATAACCTGCGGTATGCAGATAATACAATAGTGTTTTCCAATACTATAGAAAGGTTGCAAAGCTTAATGAATAAAATAACGGAAACAAGTAGAACATGTGGACTGGATACAAACACCAGCAAAACCAAGCTAATGATCATCAGCAAGGAAATCATAACTGGAGCAAATATGTATGTGAGCCAAATGAGAATTGAACGTGTCTCACAGTACAACTACTTCAGAACTATAATCAATGAAATGTGTGACAATACCCAAGAGATTAAATGTCTCATCGGAAAGGCAAGAAGTGCATTCTTGACTATGAGATCTGTGTTTAAGAGCCATGACCTCACCCTGGAAACAAAAATAAGGCTCCTTAAATGTTATGTGTAGGTACTCAGTTCTTTTGTACGAAGTAGAGACGTGGACATAGAAGTCGGAACTGTATCAAAACTTCAATCGTTTGCGCTGTGCTTATATAGAAGGATCCTGAAGATACCATGGACAGACAAAGTCACAATAGAGAGGTACTGCTGAGGATGAACACAACCGCGGATTTGGTCAACATCTTGAAGAGTTGTAAGCTGCAGTACTAGGGACATATAATGAAAAATTAATCATTTTGCAAGGTAAAATTGAAGGAAAAAGGGCTCCAGGGCGAAGAAGAATATCCTGGGTTGCTAACCTGAGAGCAGGTATAGAAAGACTTCAACACAGCTATTCCGTATAGCAACCAACAAAATCCTCATAACCAGAATGATCGCCAACGTTCGTAACGGACAGACACCCTAAGAAGAGAACTCTTCTTAGGGTGTCTGTCCAACCTAAGAATCCAACTCGCCCCAATCAATTGTATGTCCGATCCATGTCCATCCATGTAGGTATGCAAGTCTCTACAGGTTGGGTTTACTTATTTTGCTTGCTTGCTTGCTTTCCTCCGCTGAAACTGGATAGACACATACAATAATGTTCGTACACCAGAAAATACGGCCAATTTTACAACATATGTATTCCAAGACTGCGAGACTGCTTTACATTGACTGCGATAATACTTAGCACAAATCAGCACTTTTTATGTGACAGTAATTTATATACACACGCTTAGTATAAACAAAAATGTCTTAAACATTAGCTGAAAACTTGAATTACTTGAAAACGTCAAAATGGCATCATCTACAATGTCTTTCACAACATCGTCATTTACCTTACTATCTTTTCTAGTATTTATTTTTACAAATTGCTTCAAATATACATTGAAAAGTAATGCTAATAGTGCGCATCCCAGATTAAACGTGAACGAGTTACACTAGACAACGAAAATAAACCAGTTAATGAATGTGCTAGTAAACATTTACTTTAAATTCTCAAAGGTAAGGTTATGTAAGGTTAGACTTAGTTATCTATATTTGTTTTTCCTTTTATGCCATTTCCAAATTAAATATTAAATATTTATATATAAAGGGTTATCCAACCAAAAATTCATGGTACGAAAGTTATCGGAAAAATAATAATCCCCAAGTTTCTTCACATATGCTGGTGTTTTGGAATAACATCAACATTGGCATGTCGTAATGCAGGAAACATAATAAAAACAGGAAATTTTAGCGCGAGTTTCCATTTTTTATCGCACGTATTTACCAAAAAGGTATATACCTACCCCCTCTTCATGCAGCTTACTTCCGCGGCAATGAGCAGGCATTTGAGCAGGGAAGTTGGCAGCTTGAGTATGTAAATAAGTCGCTTGCAGTGCCATTACTCATGCCATTTCTGCTTGGTTGGCGGTTTTTTTAACGGAATTCAAAGGACTGCAGTGCGAGTGACAGTGACTGTTTAGTTAATAATAACTTAAAATAGACAAAGTTTTCGCCGGAGTAATTTCCATGCCCTCCATTGCTTATGGTACACTGATGCAGCACTGTCGTAGCTGTATGTAAACGGTCATTTGCCTTAAATGCTGCCGTGGAATTATTTCGGACAGGACAGTGGACAACAGGAGTAGTAGCAGCAATGGCTGCATGTAAAAGGGATATAATTGTGTAGTAGTATCATCTAGCAAAAAGACAAAAGAGGGAATGTAAAGGTAGTGGGGGCAAAAATATTGTTAGACAGGAAGTGCCATCTTGAGAGGCCACATTAAACAAGGAAAGAGAGTCTTTCCTTGTTTAAGAAATCAAGTTTAGTTGGGTTATGTTATTGTTTGTCCCAACTGTCACATGAAATCTTATTTATATTAAAGTTTTTTAAC